CATATTCCCGGGGTTTTATGGCACTCGCTTCTAGAGATGAAGGGAGATAAGGCCTCGAGATCGCCAATACGATCTCATTCGCATAAACAGGTCGAGCGGAGGGCTGCAGGCAGTGATCATCCGCTGAGGTACAGAATGAAGTGGAACTTACCGAACCATTCGACAGAGATCGTAATGCTCACTGAACAGAGACAGATGAGGAAGAAGAGACCAAAGTGTGTTTCTGGCGATTCATTCAAGACTGATTGGCTCATGTTTGTCACCGCGATCATCGCGTTGACATCATCCCTCTGTGGCCCATCTCACGAAAAAGATGAAGTCCTCGATATTTTGTTTCGGAACCACCATCAGGGTGTTTCCGTTATTGTTGGAAATCTCGATTTTACGCTCGATCTCTCCGGGGAGACACTTGGCCAGTTCTCCACGAGCGAAAAAGGTTGAGTCGAGGGAGTGAGTCTGCGTAATCCGTCGTTGTTCAGACCTCGATGCCCTCGATGGAATAGACTCAAGTTTCCACACTCGGACCCAAAGCCTTTCCGATTTCGAGAGATTCGACCGAGGGTCCTCTCATGTCGCGACTTGTACCCTCAGACCTGCGCGGGACCTCCCCTGATTTGCCTGGATCGATTGGGAGTTCAGGCGAGATATCCGAGGCAATGTAAACTAAGGATAATCTGTTAAGGAGGGTTCTTGCAAAACATTCCTCGAATCAGTCAGACGACCACTCAATCATTCAACAAAGCGACGAGCCTCGCATATAGTCGGCCATCCCTCTCCCGGCTAGGCGCGCGCTCTTTCCTCCGAAAGTTCGTTCACGACGGAACGCACAGAAAGCAATCGAGCAAGACACTCACGTTGGTGGACATTGTAGTATAAGCGAGTTTTACTGCTCGAAATGTTGTACAGATAGCTCATTCGGGCTCCTGCGTGGCCCTCTGTTGTGTTCCACGCGTTAGTGCGGTTTTTCGTCGGTGTAGAATTCCGTCATCATTTGGAGAATCGCATGACGTGAAGGACCCCTTCACCGCTCGCCATGGCCGTGAAATTCTCGTGAGTAGGAGTCGGCTCCGCTGGGGTCGATCGATGGAGTCACGACTTGAGCTCTCCTTTCTCGCCTTACATACATCGGCTTGGAATGTTTTGGAGTGTTGGATATTTTTCTCACTTTCGACGCACGTCCGTGCCCCTCGCGATAGGATCCGGTGAGACCCTAGTCGACGTGCAGGCATCAAACAGCTTCTGTGAATACCAGCGAATAAGTTTTAATTTGGGAAATTCGCCCCGCATAGGTCGTGAATATCGCCTCTTCTCATTGAACACTCCGATTGAGCTCCTCCGGAGACACTCCGGCGAGGAGTCTCACATGGAGAATGAATTTCGACCACCTAAAGACCGGAAGTCACCGCTTTCAATCTTCGTGATCTTGCTCTTCCAAGGTTGAACAGACTTGAAAAGCATCGGCGAGTGCTCCTTGCAGCTAGTAGCACGCTCGATTTTTAGACAGCCGAAGCTCGGACACAAGTTCGGATCGCATGGGCAATTCGTTCGGATGCACTTATTGTCAGATATTCTGGAAGCATGGCTCTTCCGAAGGGGGGAAACGATGCGAGGCTCAGAAGAAACGACAGGAGATGTCTTCGGGAGAGTAGAATCAGTCGTTCCGTGAATGTATCGCGAGGTAATTCGGTGGGTTCTGGAGCTTGCGACTCCCGAGAGTGTCGCGGCGTTTAAATTGTGCCGGGAATGTGATACAATCAACCCCTTGGCAGGGAGCCTAGGCTCAGAGAAAGTAGATTGTATCTCTGAATTCATTATATCACCGATTTTCCAATCGGGTTAGGCGAAACGATCGAGTTTCCACCGTATCTCGATGCCATGAGAGCACTGACCGGCGATCGGCGATGGAGGAACAGTAGGAAAACTCGCTTAGTCGAACTTCCGAGAACCGCGGAGAATTCCGGGGACCGACAATTTCCCATGCCAGATTCACGCTCGGATCTCAAATTCTCATAAGAAAGAGAGAGCCGTGTACAAATCGATTCGTGTCATGGACAGCTCGGCCTACGAGGGACACGATCAATACGAAGCCAGGGAAAGTAAGCTCCACTCGACTCTACGCTGCGCCGAATGGAAGATTTTTCTTTCGCGAGCGCCGGACTCACTCGAAGTCGACGCCGCCGGGGCTCAAGGCAAACCGCTGGCGTACACCGAATGATGATTCGGTCAGAAAAAGTTGGTGTTTTACGGATCATCAGGAGGGGACTAAGGAGTCTCTCCATGGAGGATAATTTACATTTCACAGTATAGATAAAGGTCGAACTCCTCTCCCTCGTTCTCCTTCAGTCGAAATAACTTCGAAGGAGAGCGAAGAACAATATTTCAACATTCGACGGACTGCATACTGCAGGAATCCGTTGCTAATGTTGATGTTCCTTGCATTTTTCCGATTCATTGAGTCGCTTGAGAACCGAGGATTAATGCCAGGCTGACGGCTTTGGGAAATCTTGGAGCTCAAAGGCTGAAGGATCGGATACGCAGCCGTCGTGTATTGTAAACCTTGATATTATCTCATCGGACGGCTCTGATAAGGCGTCATCGCATCGTAAACCTAAGTCCTCTGACATCATGGAAAAGAGTTTTCAGTTGTATGACGAACAAGGATCCTCTGCTCCGCAGGAGATACCAAAGATACGAGAAACGGCTGGCACAGTTCTGAAAAAAAATGTATTATTCGGAGCGATAAATCCGTCGTCGCCGGGTTGTTGAAAATTCTGAGTGTTCATCATCTTTTTCCTGGAGGGGAAGATCTCCCGATATTAATTCAGAGCTCAATCTTCCTCTCGGATCCTGACCTCCAAGACCACGGATTCCGACATCCTTCAAGGCGGAGTGGAAGCTTCTTGCATTAAAGTCTCGTAGTCGGAAAGACTCTTGCGCTTCGACGGGCTGCTCGAGTCTTTCAGACATGATTTGCTGCCTTCTCGTGCGAACACGACTTGCAAGCTAGCTCGGTAGTTCCCCAACGGCTCGAGATGACACTCGGTTTCTGGCGGATCGTTCCGGTCTGAAAGTTTCTCCTTCGAAAACGATCCATGGTCCTGAGCCGAGGGCCAGGTATACTTTTCTCGCGGCCGACTCCCCTTCCTCATTCGTGAGCGAAGCCTCGAATCGGAAGCTGGGTACGGGATAAGATCCCCTATCGTCATGCGATCCTCAAGCTTGAGGGCAGTCAAGCGATCTGACCTATGTATTTCGCACGCTTTTCTCGGCGGGACCGTGACACGCCTGCAGATCGCCTGTCTTGTGTGAGCGAGCTCTGTACCGCGACAGACCTCACAGTCCTTAACACACTGCTGCATTCATCGATGGAGCCTTCCACCAAGGTCAAGACGCTCCTGAACTCGACGATCAGTCCCACGGGTTCCCGGATGCTCCGCCGAACCGTCCTCGAGGCGAGGCTTGATGATGTCGCCTATCAACGGCCACAACGGCAAAGTCGGTCACGTCGATAGAGTAAAGCATTTCGCGCGTTGTTCCTGCTCCAAAATCCGATGGCAGCGCGGATCGTTGTTTTGCTCCCGTAGAGGATTCTCGTGTTGGATCGGCGCGACGGTCTACCGGGACAGCGCATCTGCGTTCTCATTCGTTTCCCTCTTCGATGCGCCCTTTCGGCCTTGAATGGCCAAGACCCATCGTGTGAGTTTAGGAGACAGGTCGGCTTCGCTCCCGAGGTACTTCTTCAGAGGGACCACAGACTGGCGGTGACCACTTGGGAGCGGCGTTCTTACGAATCAGGATAAAATTTCTGTTAAGCCCAGACTACGGGCAGATATTCAGCATCTGAAGATAAACACTCGGCCTCTGCTCAAGTGAGACATCGGCTTGCGGCCGCCGCCACTTTCTCCCCGCCCTCCATAACTTAAACCGAAACGGCTCCGAGCTTACTTCCGCTAGCTTCAGTTTGGAGCCGCGTTTCCGAATTATCTCAAAGATGACAGAGGAGCGGCTCTTCGGTGATTTGGTATTTGATCTCCTGGAAGGCTCTCCGGTGAGCCTCGCCTCCTCGAATGAACTTTTTTTTTGAAAGATCATACAAAGGCGATGAGGAACTCGCGATATTTTTGATGGATCGCCGGTGTTAGGACGCCCGCCCCAAGGAACTTCTCAAATCTTTGATGTTCGACGAGGAGCTTCGTAGCCTCGAGCTTGAGGCTAGCTTTTCGAATCGACGAGAGAAACTCTCTTGAATCGACGGGGTACCTGTCGAAGTCGTTCGTGAAGATAATAATATTGCTTACAACGTTTCGAATTGAGACGACCTGTACAAAAAGCACTCTTATCCTAATGACCACGATCCATGTCGACCTGCCAGTACCTACTCAGCGAATTCAGCGTGATGGAGCAGGTATTACCAAACCGAGCTTGGTAGGCACCGTCTTATCTGGGCAAGGGATAGACATCTCGTTTGATCACAGTGTTGAGTTTTCTGTATTCGACAGGGAAGCGCTTTGACCCCTCAGTAGACCCCTATCGACTACTTGAGGGTTCGACAAGATGATCGTTGAGCATCTTCTAGTCTCCTTCTGATATACCTTGCCATTCTGCGGGGGCTAGTCCACGTGGCGAGATCTTCATGGAGGCTGGCTCTTCCGCAGGTTTCGAATGTTTTGCTAACTTCGTGCTCGTCAATCGATTGGGTTGTCCGAAGAGGTCAGCGAAGTCTGCCAAGAGCAACGTCTTTGCCCTTCGGGCCTAGGCCACAGTGAGATCCCCGCTGTGCCGCGATTCAGGTCCAAGTTTCAACGATTCTCTCTCCCTCGTGAGCTTCCGGAGGTGTGCCCCTGGTTGTCTGGGATAAGGAGCCGTCTCAGCGATCGTCCGTCTTCGAAGAATATCGGAGAATACCAAAGGCTGATCACAGGAATTTCACATGATTCATCCTCCCCGACTCGACTAGGCTGTGAGTTGCAATGGATCGCCTGTTCGGACGACAGCCCAGAATGCCATTGGCCTGTAGTGTACTCGAAGGCATTATTTCTGTTACCTACACCGCGGTCCCAGGTGATATAACCGTGCCTCCCTAGACTCGACCGGAAATACTCGAACACGAACAGAAATCTCGGACTTATTCTGTATTGACGAGTGAGAGTGACTCCGTAAGGAATGGCTTCCCCAAGATCACCTCCTTGGCAGTATTATCGACGAAGAAGAAAGACCCTATGATCCCGTCAACTTCGTGCTCCACTGCTCCGATGACTCCCACGATGTTCCGTTGTGCATCCTGCATCCGTGGTCAGCCCGAAAGTGGCTAGGTATCTGAATGCCCGGTTATTGCAGACTGCCCACGATCTGATCTGATGCGCCATTAGAGCCTTGTCGCTCATTTGGCTCAAAGAGTTCATAAGGGATTCCCTTGCTCGGACCACCGCAATAGGTCACGCAGAATATCCAAAACTTTTTCGGGCTGATCCACACAGCCAAGGTTTAACGTCCCGGGTACTGTTATTCACATTGCTTCCGAGGACGGATCCATAGAGCAAATGTACCCAGGAGGATCAAGGCCGAGTACCTGCATATTTTTCCGGCAGCAGGGATCGAACCCACACCGCCTCCCGCGCGAGCGGCGTCGTTGCGGCTATGCATGTAACGCAGAATATCCAGGAGTTTCTCAATAAGCCCTTGAAATAGAGCTACCAGGGGGAGGGGGGCAATCGAGAAGAAAATCCGGAGACTCGCTCGGAGACTCGATCAGAACTGTCGAAGGCGTAGTCAAGATAGAAGCTCTGCGAAACAAGAATGAGTAGCTCTACCCGGCTCGGAGAGTTCATCTAAAATCTTAATTTCCGCTCTCGCAGGCCTCTCGGGGATCATCCGGATTCGTCGACGGTGAGGAAGCCTTTCCTCATGTTCGTCACCGTCGTGGGGTTCATGCTTTTCTTCGTGCTCTACATAGCGACGTCTACGACTGTACCGACCTCTGGCGTGGATTACGACGCTTTCGTCAATCAATCCACCTCCGAGTTCATCACGGACCGAGAACTTTCGTCGGCGACCGCCGCTAGCGACACTTCTCCGACAACGGTGCGCAGCATTGGGACGTCATCCGTTGAAGACTCTAGGAGCTCGGAATATTATACTGAAGCTACGGAACCGAGCACGACGAGCGTGGAGCAGTCCGAAGATGAAGCTCCAGTTCCCGTGTTGAGTGATCTGTCGCGGGTTTACGAAAAATACGTAATCTACGAGAACAAGTGCCGCATCCGGAGTTACGACTTCAATGATACCGCAATTATCGAGAAATACTTCTCGAGCGAACCGAAGCAGTGTCCCAAGAACGCTAAACCTTTCATTTTTTATCCTGTGATTAATGCGACCGCGGGTCACTCCTGTGTAGGAATCGATCGGACGGTTTTCGACAAATCATACGATGGTGATTTCGACCAATGGAACTGTACTTACAAAGAAGCCATCCGCGCAACAAATTATCAAGTCATCGACAAACACCACGATTTCGGCAAAAACAAAACTTTGAAAGTCGGCGATTGTCCGAAAGAAGAATTCATCTGGATCGAGTGTGAGCGACCCGGAAGGAATCAGACTTATCAGCAACCACTCATGCTGCCTCTGGTGAAAGCAGCGCGCGCACCGATCCGACCCAACAACATTGGCAAGAAACCGTTACACGTGCTGGTGGTCGGACTCGACTCGGTTTCACGACTCAATGCTCACAGACAGTTCCCAAAAACCATGCGATTTTTACGATCGAAGAAGAACCTCGTCGAATTGTTCGGTTACAACAAGATCGGTCTAAACTCGGCGCCGAATCAGATCCCGCTCCTCACTGGAATACCTTATGCGGATCCGGGAGGACTCAGATCTCGTCTGGGCTCGAGTTACTACGACAATGTGACTCGGTATCTCTGGGACGACTACGCTGACCGCGGCTACAGGACCATGTTCTACGAAGAGCAATGGATCTACGGTCTCTTCGTGTATCCGTCGTACAAGGGTTTCAAGAAGGTAGGTGGAAGTTACGACATATCCGTTCGCTTCGCGCTTCTCTTCCAGCCGCGAACTGTCAGGTCCCAAAAAATTTGTCCCTCTTTCCAGGTTCCGACAACTTACTGGCCACGACCGATGATGCAAGCGATCGACAAATCCACCCTGAAAGCAGCGGGTTACAGCTGGTGTATCGGTCCCGACTTCCCTGCCAAACATTATTTAGACTACACTTACAACACGATGAAGATTCTCGGCAATGATCGACCGTTATTCTCGTATTCTTGGCTCAGTGAAACGGCTCATGACCAAGTGAACGGCGGGAAAAGGGTCGACGGATACTTCTACGACTTCTTCTCGAAGATGGACAGAGACGGTGTTCTGAATAACACCGCTGTGTTCTTCATATCGGATCATGGTTTTCGATTCGGTGCGTTCAGAAAAACCGCTCTCGGTCGGTACGAGGACATGCTCCCGTACGGCTTCGTCCTGATGCCTGATTGGTACTACGACGAGAATCCCGAAGCTCTGGAGAACCTCAAGATCAACTCTCGACGACTCGTGACTGTTTACGATCTCCACGCGACCCTACTCGAGCTCTCAGAGCCCTGGAACGAGGGAAGGGTTACCCGGACGGCTAATGGCTACAGTCTCTTCAGCAATGTTATCCCTGGCGAACGGAATTGTGAAGACGCGGATATCAATTTCCAGTTCTGCACTTGTTTCGAGCCGCAGCCCTACCCTCGGAAGGGCAATCTATCGCGATCCTTGGCGAATTTCGTCATCGGGGAGATCAACGGCGAGATTCGAAAAATAACGCTACGGGAAAATGCCAAGAATGGGCTCTGGACAGCGTTGATGACTTCGTGCGTCTCTCCGAGGGCAACGAGTGGACCAATTACTATAAGTCCACCATCAAGACGAAGCCCTCTGCTCAATTCGAGGTCGCAGTCTCATACAATCAGACCGATCGTTCTTGGAAACTCCTGTCGAGTATAGATCGAACCGATTGGTTCAGCTCGCATGCTAAATGCGTCAAAAAAGAATCGTATGAAAGATACTGCTACTGTAAATGATGCACAGTGAGAACTCTTAAATGGGTCCGTTCGCGGTTCCTGCGAGTAGTGGACCGGTACCTCAAGGGGACCCACTAGGCGTCCGGATTCCATGGCCTCTCATGGTTTGCGGATGCGAGGGAAAACGGTGTGATAAGCCAGGTGGTTCCTTCACTCACGACGACCCTAATAAGTAAGGTTTTTTTACTGGGGAAGATCTTAGAACAAAAGAATAGAATCTACAAGAGTCAATTCCTGATAAGCTGATCCGCCAAAGACGTTATGCGGATATCCGAGAAAAAATGTTTTGATTTCAGAATAAGGTTTGCGTTATCTGAATGTCGTCAAGCTTACTGTCAAGAATTCGGGGTTAGTTGTGCGGTGGCCACCAGAATCGGCCGCGGTCTCAGCCTGCAGCTTGAGTGTTCGAGCTGACTCACGATGTGTTGTCTTAATGTTAATCATTCAACGTTCTCCGGACAGGTCGTTGCGATGACGTTGCGAACCGTGAGACTTCTCTACACATGTTGTACATAAGTCGAGCATTTATGAGGCGATGAGAGGACAAATCTTTTTATCGTCTGGTTCATCTAGTCAAGGTGTAAAATATGTGAAATAATATATCGATGAATTCTGAAAACAAATCGATAACGATTCTCTCGTGGACTCAATGATCGCAAGGAGAAGAAGTCACCCGTCTGACTCTGACGGACATTTCCAGCTTGTGTCCCCTTCACGGGAGATTTTATGTTTGACGTCGAGGGAAAAACTCAGGACCAAGTCGATTTTTCATTTGCGGTTTGTTCCCAGCCTCCCTTCCCCAGCCTCTCCCACCCCTGAAATTATGGATCAAATCCAAATGTCGTTCAAATCCAGAAACCAAGCCCGTCCTTCTCTCGTGGATGACCCCAGTACCCACCCCTGACGTTGAGGGCGCGAACTTATCGACGGAAACCACGATTGTGGTGGGAACCGAGCCCCTAACATCGCGCGTCGACGATCCTTCGAATGAAAGATTCATCCGGCCAATCTTATTCATTGACCGATCAGAACGATCAGCAACAAGTCGTGTTGCCCCTGACGCGCACCGATCCAGCCCAATGGAGTCGGCAAGGGAGCGTTACCTTGTGCTTGTGATCGGGCTCTACTCGGTCTCACGACTCAATGCTCCCCGGCGATCCCCGGAAACTTTGAGCTTTCTACAGTCGAAGAAAAAAATTGAATGACTAGTTGTCTGCGACACGATGAGCCTAAGTAGTCCAAGAGCCCAGCGCCGAAAAGCTTCATTCCTGTGCATGCGGATCGAGGGAACCGTGTGCTGCAAGTTTGCTTGAATGACTAGGACACAGCAAGCCGGTATCGGTATCTCTGGAAGGGATATGCTGACCGGCTACAGAATCATGCTCCACGAGAATCGATGTCTCCACCACTCCAACCAGCTTCGATGACTAGAGATTGAAAGCTCAAGGTCGGAGAAACCGGAAGAAAGGCGGACACGTAGGCACTGAAAAACGGATAAATGGGCGATGTAGAAGGCGAATAAGACATGGGGAGCGATCGGGTAGGATGCCAGGAAAAAAGCCGTCCGAGGACAAGAATCGAGTTCGAGCTCTTCATTCATAGTTTCCGGCATTGCCCGTCATCTGGGTGCGAGGCGCACCTACGACGGAGTCAAAGATCTTCCTCGAAAATCAGACATGTAGCTATTGGGATCGGCAACCCGGGGAACCGCTCCGAAAATCGGCCAATCTTACACCGCTCGACTCGAAAGAGGAAGCAGCATCGTCTGACTGAATGAGCATTCCATACGAAGGAATCAAGACTTGCAATCGACGAAATGAAATGGACTCCACGCCGCCCCATCGGATGGGGTCGGGGCCGAGTGTATGACATCATCGGTAGCCGGGTGTGGATTCTCGAGTCGTGGAGCTCCTCTGTGAACTTCGCGATTCTCATAACGGGTAGGCAAAGCTCCAGTCCGGAGAATCCCGAGATTCTTATGGGCGAAGATGCGAAAGAGTCAAAATTTTCGAAAGTCCACAGAAAGGGGTAGAATGCTGACGAAACCTCAGAAATAGGCATTTAGAGTGCCTATGGCATAATGCTTGGACTCCCAATCTATCGATGACACCTCTCGATAGAAGCAGGGAGATCGCAGAGAATGGAGTTCCTGGACACCCATGATTCGCATTAAGATCCTTAGCTCGTCGTGTTTCCGAATTCCGCAGGTTCGAGGAGGGTCAATGATTCCCGTTGATTCCCGACTCATGTCCCTCCTCGTATGGAAAGGTTACTGCAAGTTATTCGCCTCGTCGGCGGTTTCCACCTGGGTTCCCACAAGGGCGCGAGTGGGCTCAAAAGATGAGCGTATGTGTGAGTGGCTACCCTCCAGAACTCCCACGCCGAGTCGTGCAAGCGTTGGCCTCCCGCTTAGGTATACTAGCGACCGACCAGTCTAATGTGGAGCGATTCGAGGCTCAGCTTGTGATCATCCCCGATGAACCCTTGACCTCGGTCTATCTGCGGAGCGAAGCAGTTCAGCGAGATCAGTGAAGCGGAAACAATCGACCGAGACTCGTATGACTTGTTTACGGGAATGCTTGACTCTTCACACTGGGAATTTCCCCTCGCGGGAGGGCCGCGAGATAGAATCGTGACGTGCCGTCCTGGTCTGCCTTCGGATCATCCGGAAGTCACGAATCCTTCGAGTGAGAGTTGAGCCATTCGAATGATCAAGGTACCAGTCCCGCATGCGGCGTGAAATCTGCCGAGTCAGGGCGTTTGAATCTATTGTCATCTCTGCGTCTCCGTTTCGAAGCTTGCCGGCAGAACTGAGATTATGATTATTCCACCATCCCACGCAATGTAGGAGGATTCCGTCATAAACAACACAAACGACGCGGAGTCGGAGTAGACTCTCTCGAGCTGCTGACTGCAGACCGCGAGACTTCGGCATAAAAATGACATTTTTTCAATTTTGCCGCTCCTCCTGACAGCTCCTCGTGGTGAGCTCCGATATGGTATGCTTCAGGGACGAGAAAGTTTCACTCGAGACTCAACCCTCTCCTGTTGTCAGGGACGACTTCATCGAATGATTTTTGAAGAATGTCTATCTGAACCGAATAACGAAATCGGCTTCTAATTGCCTCTCTCAAGAATGGGTTTGGCCATCGATTATTCGCTCCTGATGCCCCTTTTGCTGAGCTCGTTCTTCACAATAATCTTCCACCGGCGCCGAATCGAGTTGCGGGGAGGCGGACCCCGACGCGGAGCGGGACTCATCCAACTATTTGAGTACCTCCTGCTCATAAGCCCATTCTTGGTCCTATTCCTCCCACTCGTGGAACAGAGTTCAACGCGGGTGTTGCGCGGTCAAGGTCCCGCGGAACAGACATCAGGATATCCGGTCGATGACGCCCGAATCCCGAGAGCAGGCATGAAACCTCCCTCTCGAGCGGAAGGGAAGTCTACAGGGGCTCCATCCGCACCTTTCGTAATCGAAAAAAACAAGCACGTTTACAAAAGATCCGAGATATCCGATTTGAGGAAACGAATTCCCACGTTCAAGGCTCGATTCAAAGGCGAAGATTTGGGAGAGATGGAGTTGATTGATCTGTTTCTCCATAGAAAAAGAAATCGTGGCCAATGCAACGTTCTCGACAATTATGGGAAGCAGGTTCCGGCGGCGGCACTCATTACGAATCTCAACCGTCTCAGGGACACGGAGTTCACGATGCCGAAGAATTTCCAGGTTATAACGGAGTACGGTCTGGAGACGATGACGCTGAGAGAGCTCAACGAGTTCTGCAAAACGAAGGAGCTATATGTGTACTCACCGGAATCGGGCGAGTACGAAATAATGACCGCTGCTCGCGCTAGACATTTACAAGAAAAGCATCCGATGGTCAGATGGGAGAAGAGATGGTTCCTCGCCTCGTCGAGACTGCTCGACAGGATTCAAAAAAGCCTCAATCGTCAAGGTGACGACCACGCGTACTACGACGGGTATGTAGATCCACACAGACATGTGTACATATACGAAGAAAACGGTGCCGTCAGGAGAGGGCTCCCAGAGGATTCCTTTGAAAAATGAGCGTAGTATTGACTAAATCACATCTTCCCATCACCCAGAAAGATACAAAGTCCGAAAGGCTTGAACTTGGTCTACACACATATCGGTGGAACCTGCATCGGCGGGAAACTTCCAACCGACAGCCCTTGCCATCCGGACACGAAGAAATTCAAAGAGGAGTAAGTCGAAATGGTCGTTATGAATTCATTCGCTCAAACGAGCCTTAGCCAAGCTTCAAACCTGACGCGACCCTCGATCCGAGCCTTCTGATGTTACCATTGCTTCGAAGTTGGTCGATTTACGCGGTGTTGAACAAAGGAAAATTTTTGCGCGAAAATCCACCGGAAGTTGTGAACAACAAGATTAAAATCCAGAAACTCATGATGCAAGGTGAGTTCTATGCTTTCAATGAAGTCTCCGAATATCTGCCCACGATCCACGACGGACCCAAGAAAACTTCAGAGAACTCACAGAGTTCAAGAATGAAGAGTTGAAGAAGCTGACAAACGCCCTTCGACCGCTCACGGTCAGAATGTCCAAAGATGAAATAGCCGAACCCTTGTTCGCCGCGTACATGGTGTACGCCAAAGAATTCGAGACCAAGTTAGTTGACGTCGAGGAAACACCCCCAATACCGGATGAGCTTGAGAGCGATCTCCACGAGTTTTCTTTCCAGGCCTAAAATATTCCGCTATCTGGGAACTATGAAAGTCCTACACGAAATTGCCGACCTCCCTGGTCAGTGTCAGCCTGAAGATTCTTCGGAGCCGAGGAGTTCTTGTTCCGTGATACTGGCAAATCAATATTTTTCTGATTTTTCGAACAGAGAGAATGAAGTCAACTGGACCCCGAGCGAGTAATGAGGACACGATTCCGAGAACAAAGTTCGTTGAGGCTATCAAGAAATTCCATAACGCTGATCCTCAGCTCTATTGCCGCGAGCATCCTGAGGATGGGCCTGATGTCTTGTTCGCCATTGGTCTCTGCTTCGACAAGCATGAGAAACCAGAAGATTGCCAGAGCAGGTGAATACCAGTAATCTTGGAGGGATGTGATTTAGTTCTGTATAGGGAAATCTGGCCTGGAGATATCAACGAATCTTCTCGGTTCCACAGAGAGGACGATTGCGAGGATCATTTCCTCCTCGTGGAGCGAACTAAGTAGCGGCCCTGATTGTTTCCGAGTCAAGATGAAGACATAACATGCAGGAATGTGGATCTGCTCCGAAAACCCATCCTTCCCTCCTCTGTTCCCTCTTCGGTCCTTCATCTCGACTCCAGTAGAACATTGAATCTGCCGTTTGACCGACTATGGTTTCTCTGAAAATCTCAGGATGAGAGATGCGAGTGGGATAATCCTACATAAAGCGTGGTGTTCCGTGATCTCGACCCAACCTGAACCCATAATAATCGGTCGGGTAGCATTTTCGTTGATCTATCTGAGAAGGGCCAGAGTTTTTTCGCCGATTGCTGGAGCAACTCAAAGCTCATCTCAGGTCTCCGCGTCGAGATGTCCTGAAACGCTCATCGCCCGTCTAGTCGACCGAGAGTTCAAAACCTCGGTACTTGAATAGGGGAAGTTCGTCCTTCCTCCTACCTAGATAGGTATGCCCTCTCCTGCCCGCACCTTGCGGTCGAAGTATATCATGGCGATGTACTACACCTTCTTCCACCGGAGTGATGTGGACAAAGCTACGATCGAGGGGCTCCGAGAGGTCACGAAAAGTCCCACGGGAGAGATCCGTGACTCGTGCCGGAACTCTAGTCTAATCAAGAGGGCAAACCAGATTCGCAGCTCCATCGAGTGATTTCTGCGGATTGGATTAGGAGGTAGCCGAATCCAGTTCTCAGTAGATCTGATTTGCCAATCGTGGGACCATCGATCCGCGCCGGCCGTAGGTGGGATTTTTCGACCGCCAAAAACTCCGGTCGCTAATGTGTCGGATGAAACTGCGTCGATGGTCGATCTCGAATCAGCGTTGAAGTCTCCGTCGACGTTCTCCGTCCGATACGGAAACATCCGCACACGAGCCTAGTTGAAATCGATAACGAAATTGGTGCGGGGCTGTGAGGTCGTTTCCCTGCGAGAAAGATCATGAAAATCGAATATTACATCTTACCTTGTCTGTTCTTGAGTTTCTCCTTGGCACACATGCTCCGAAGTCAACGCCTTCAGTTCCGTGGAGGCGGACCCCGAGGAATGATATCGTTCGCAATGCTACTCCTATCGTGTCCGCTCCTATTTCTTCCCAGCCAGGAAGCGGATAAGTCTGGATCTGAGACACTTCGAGGTGGCCAATTAGAGCGGAGGCCTCTGCGGGTTATCGAATTCAAGAGCTTACTGCCGTCATCTGAAAGAAAGGCCATCCAGTATCGATTCGATAGCGGTTCACCGGCCGTAAGTTCCGTTCGAGCGCCCGTTCAGGATACGGGTGAGGAGACCGGGTCCGATGGACTCGTGTTGACTCGGCTGGGGAAGGACCTTTCCAGAGCCCGAATACCACGGCTCAGGGAGCTCATCAAGCGTTACAAATGCAAGCAGGCTGGCAAAGATCTGGAGGAAATGGAGCTTGTGGAGCTCCTCCTACATCGGAAAAAAACAAAAATTGCTTGCGATGTGCTTATCGATCGAGGGCAGGAAGTACCAGCGGCTTCGATCGTTCCCACCCTGAATAGTCTCGCCCTGACGGATTTCAAGATGCCGGATCACTTCGAAGTCAAAACCGCTCAGGGTAGAAAAAACATGACGCTAGAAGAGCTGAACGCGTTTTGCGAGATGAATGAAATCTTCGAGTACTGTCCGGAAGCAGGCGGTAACCTGATGATCACTCCAAGCGTGGCTAAGCGTTACCAGGAGCAGAATCCCATGGTGAAGTGGAAGAAGAAATGGTATATAGCATCTCAAAGACTCCTCGACATTCTCGAGCAGAAACTCCGACTTCGCGGCGGCGAGGAGATAGATACAGTCAGGTTAGTAGGCCTTCTTTCTTGAGGTTGGTCGGGGGCAAAGAGAGTTGCGGGGACCCATCTCGGTTCGGGCTGCGTCCAACGGTCGACATCAAATCGAAGTTTGCACCAAAATCATCGGGCCTCTTCCGTTGGGCGCGTCGACGAGCCTCATTCGATTCGACATGGAATTCCTGGCAAGCGTTCCGGAATGAAGTCCATCAATCAATCAATCAATCTTCGTTTATCCTGAAGATTCTCGCTCCCACTCCAGACACGGGGAGGTACTCTGAAGGAATTCCTTAGCGGGGCGGATATCAGGCGGTGGATTGGCAGCTGAGTATACCCGGGTATATAAAACTGTATATTTATCCGCTCACAGAGATTATCAGAGGGGGGGGCCTCATCCCGAGCAAGAGACTGACGATCCCGAAGAGCTGCATCATGGAGGCGATTCGGAGGCTTCATGAAGCTGAATCTCAGCCATATTGTCGTCGATCTGGATTTCCAGGAGACAAACCGAAGATTCCTTACACCCTCTTCGCTGAAGGCGATGGCCCCGACGAGCGTGAGGAACCTGTGGATCGACGGAGTGAGCTTTCCGCTGCTGGGAGCTGTTCCGTCATGCTCATTCATCAAAAGGATTCCCTAGATATGCCCATTCGATTTTGCCTTCCTCGAACGATGGAGAGTGTGGCGTGCGGCAGTCTTGGGTCGTACCGAGATGAACGAATAAGAAAAATTGCACATGCTTTGCACTCCATGATTTTCGAATTGAGTCCCATCTAACTGCCTATGCCAAGAGGAGAGGGGAACGATCGTCTCCGAAGTTGTTGTCTAGAAGGCCAGGAGCATCGATCCATTTCAGCCGATCGAGGCTGTTCCCAAAAACTCGGAATGTTACTCCCCGGATGGGGCCCTCTATACCGAATCCAAGGATCGAGAGTCTCTCAAGCATAGCTTCATTTTTCGTCACGTCGGCGCAGTGGGAAAATATCTCCGGAATGAAACGTTCACTCAGCCCTAGGATTCCTCAGGAGTCTAATCGTTCACAGGCATACTTCTCCCAGTGAGCGCAAATGAGCACGGGTGATTCGATATCGAGATCTGACCCTTCCGGGCATTGAATTTCCCGCAAAGAAAAACATCTCACCGCGAGAATCCGTCGGTCACATCAATTGGGATCTCTGCTTTCTCCGTCGAATTCTGCTATCGTACGACTTATGCCGCTCCTACGCACATTCCGCTCATTCGAGCGTCATCATGGCGCAAGGATGCCACGGGAGAAGGTGTAAGCTCCGTTTCGCAGACGGCTCAATGGAGCGGCGGGTCTCCCCATGAATTAGGTGGTGATACCTCTGCAGGTTCGGAGTTTTTCGCTCGCATGGATTGTGAAGAAGGTTCCGTATCATCGATATGCGCGAGGCCTTGTGTCGAAACTTACCCTCCAGGAAGGAAAACCGAATGGCGGTGATTCCTTTCAAAGGAGTCGATCGCCCTTCGGTATTTCAGAGTAAAGAGAGGTTCGCTGTGTCCGTCCGCCTACATATCTATCATAATCCAACAACGAAATCGGTGGTCAGTCGCCTCCCTGAAGGGAGACAATGAATGTCGATTACTCTCTCCTACCCTCCTTGTTCTGGAGTTTCTTTCTCGGGCTGATGCTCCATCAGCGACGACTTCGTGGCGGTGGAGATCAGCAGGGGAAACTGCAGAATCTGCTGGAATTCGTTCTGCTCATATGCCCGCTGCTGTTCCTCTTCAACCCGCCGGAGAATCATAGTGTGATCGAAACGCTGCGCGGGGGTGAGAGAGATACTCTTCCAAGGAAGGCGAGTGTGCCCGGTGAAGAGCCTATAGTCAAACCGCGGAGTACGCCCCTGGCTTCGGGCCAGGCTCCTGGAGACTCCGGAACTCATGGCCCCGGGGATCCTGGGGGTCATGGTGGAGACGATGGAGATGGGGCCATCCTAGATAATCCCGATAATCACGTCGTCACCAGATTGAGGGGACTGTATAAGAAGTCCAGCGTCCCCGAAGTCAGAAAGGCGATCCAGCGTTTCAAGGTCAAGCTCAAAGGCGAGGTGATGGAGGGCTTGGAGCTAATAGAACTATTCGCTTTACGTAAAAGAACCAAACGTAGGATGAATGTCATCGACGACAATGGAGATCAGATCCCGATCGCCGCATACGTGAATGTTCTCAATCGACTGGCGAAATCAAACAAGAGCATGCCGAAAGATTTCGTGCTCGTCACCGATAACGGTAGAAAAAGGGTCACCTTAGAGGAGCTCAATAGACTCTGCGATCAGTATGAGATTTTCGTTCACAACCCTGCCTCGAATGAATACGTTCTCATGACGAAATCTCGAGCACGCTTCTTGGAAAGTGACCACATTCATGTAAGATGGAACAAAAAGTGGTACATCGCCTCAACGAAAATCCTAGACGTCCTGGAGAGAAAACTGAAAGAGAGAGCCGCCGAGCAGGCTTCGGCCGATTATACGGGGTAAGTCGACCTCGAGAGATTCTACAATTAGTGTCGCTCCATGCGTACACCGAAAACTCCTTGAAAGGACCTATGGCATTTCCTCGCTGTTCGAAGCATATCCTCCTGTCCTGGCCTCCGAAATGTCGACGAAGTTCCATGATCCCAATTGGAATCTTTATCGATGAGCCGGGATTTTTTCTCACGTCGAGGGAATTCCTGGACGAGGGCCTGGGGTGAGATCGAGCATTGGCGCGACTTCCTCGATCTTCATCGAGTGAATGTGGCCGAATCTCGAGTCCGGTCCCACACAATCGCTGGGATCCCCGCTCCCGAGCCGATACATTCTTGAAGTGGACTCGATTGTCGATGATGTTTTTGGCAGCTTCTGAACACCATACTCAATTCCAGAAAAATCGCGATGCCGGATGGCTTCACAATCGTCTACGGGAATGTCGGCGGAATTTGCCACAAGGGAAGGGACCCAATCGGAAGATATTGCAGCGAGAAAGTGAATGCGTATGGGCCAGAGTAAGTTCTTCGCGGAATGGCGTGTCCTGGTTCGACGTTGCGACGAGGGTGCCGAAAATTCCTCCTCGTATCTACCATCGCATATTCGGTCGAGGAGTAAAAGTACTCTCTCCGAGCTCGAGGGCGGTGCCCGCTTCTGAATGGGTTTCGAGCTAAGCCCAGTGCTTGCCTGAGTCCATGCGACGATTCTGATCAGCCGAGCCTCTGACGATATCTTTCAGAGTTCATCGGAAGTCGGGAGACCCGCATGTGGATTGATCTGATCTATAGAATAATAGTGCCTATTTTCGTTTCTCGATAGCTGGTTCCTTTATGCTCTACTGGACAAACGGGGAAGATTGTCCATGATTCCCCAGAGCGTCAACGAGGACAAGGAGGGACAACATAAACTCTGGACTCAACGTGAGTTGATCGGCAGGATTTTCTTGAAGATGTTCACCCCTGATTCTCGACGGCTATAGCAATGACGGACTTCCTTGGGATCTATAGTTGTGAAGAGCAGAGAACTGAGGAAAGTAAGGGAAAAACTACGATCGCGAACCGTCAGATTCTCTGCGTCGGATATTGATCCGCTCTTTGCGGCATTCATGACTTTCGGTCCAGGCTTCAAGTCGAGGTCAGTAAATCTAGCCAACTTATCACATGAGAGTGATACGCATTTTTCCTAATACATCAAAGAGAAGGAACCTATTGTCACGGCGAATTTATTTGCAGACCCGACTTTCTTCGGTATCTCGGCAGCTTGCAAATCATCGATCGCAATTCTGGTTTCATTGGTAATTCGATCCCTTCGCTAGCACCCCCCAGCTACTCTTAGATGGTGCGGAATGACCCCGCTGAGGAACGATCGATGCTATTCCCTGATTCCCCTGCAGAGAAAATTCAAAGCAGTTCACTCAAGCCGAGCTCTAAGCCAATCTCGAAAAGAAAGCTTATCGAAGCGCTGAAAGAGATCAATCATGGCAGACGACCCGAGCTCTATTGTCGAGAGTCCGAAGATACGGAAGGTGACGTCGACGGAGGTACTCTGAAGGGCGGCGCATTCGGTGGCTCAATCGGAGCTTCATACGGAGCTTCGATTGAGGCCTCCATCGCCGACTCGGAGGAAGATCTGGTGGGTGTACCAGTCATAGATCCGATGGGGGGCTCGGAAGCTGGCGACTCCGATGAGAAACCATCAATCCTTTTCGCTGTCGGCCTCTGCTTCAATAAGCATGAGAAGCCTGTGAACTGCCTGAGGGGGTAAGCCTCCTCCCGCTTCGAACTAGCCGAATTCGATTGTATCCCCTAAACTCCGACCGAGATTTGAGCACTCCGATCCCACAGGGGTGTTGGCTGCGGAAACCGAATTCTCTACGTAGGGAGGAAGCGGATCGAACCGGTCCGACCACCACCAGCATGAGGAAAGGGAGAACGCACGAGTCGCCCACAGGGAGCATATTGGTCGCAAAATACAATTCGTTCACTGGTTACTCTGATTTCGTGCTACCGATGAGTGCTCTCCCAGATCAATCTCTTCAGCGAAATATTCGCAGCTGCGGTACTGACTTTGTGAGGCACTCAATCACGGAGCGAAAGAGGTCCTCCCCCCCTTGATTCAGCATAGTGTCAGGAGGCAGGAATCTCTTCGCAAGAACCTTGCTCAAGTAATAATCGTAATCCTCGCTACTGGCATCTTATCTCCAAGGAGGAATAGACTGAAAGCTTCCCGATTTATGAAATGGACGAAGCGAGTAGGACGAAGTACTCGATTGAGAAGAATCTACATCGACAGATATTCCTCCAGAATGGACGAATATCGGCCCCATGATGTCGTCGACTGATATTCCGTCAGCCTTATCTCCGTTCGGGAGGTGTCGAGAAATCTGATCCACAACGGGCTTCGCGGCTGCTCATGGAACCGCACATATCTTCATCAACTCCACCGATGTTATCCTCCTAGAATCCTAGGTTCTATTCCTCTGTGGAGATTCTCTGTGTCTATCAATTGTGGTAAGCGATGGAATTAGATTAGTACATTACTCTTGACAGATTCGGTTTCACTTCTGGGTGAATGCACGGATGGATTCTTTATCCACTGAGTCCCGGTTGAAATACCACGTGTCTCAGCACGAAGTCTCTGCCGCAATTATAGAAGCCTCGGTTATACTCGAAGAAATCCATCCAAGAGTGGTAGTAGAAACACTTGAAAAGCTCGCGGGCGGCTGGAGTGAAGGTTTTCCCTTTGCGTAGTCCATCCGAAGCGTCGATGCCGAAGAGGCTCCAAACATCAGCTAACCCCTCCCGGAAATGTGGTCCCACCTGAAGTACTTCGCACTAGACGCTGGAAAGCATTCCCTGATCTGCACGCCGCGACAGTCGCTCCGGTGTCCACCCGATCGACGAATATGGGGCATCAGGTTCTCCCGCGGACAACATGTTTCATGCCTTCCTCCGAGATGAGATATTCTATCCGTAGGCGGCTCGACCATCATCGAGGCTTTCACGTACGACGAATGTGGAATAGAGGAGCAAGGCGATGCCTCGCAATCGCGGAAAATCGGCAGTAGCTTCGGAAGCCTAGCTAGATTCAGTTATTCAGACTGCGAAATGATTTCGACTTATTGAATTCAACATATGTAGCTCGATAGCCGACGATGGCCAGAACCACGGTCGCAGGTTCGTCACTCCGAACTTCGTTGGGAGTCGCGATGTTCCGGAAACGAGAAGCCAATATCTCAAGGCCAGCCGCGATCCACGGCAGGAGGAGTATTAGTTCTTAATGTTCCCGTAAGCAGATCTTCGAAAACTGAGGCAGAATATATCTCATCCATGTTCTGCATTTCTGCAGAGTCTGGCAGCTTCGACGAGTCGAGTTCTCTAGCCCGATAGAGGACTATCGTATCGCGAGCCGAGCTCGAAACGTTGAGCTCCGAATCCGTGGCTCGAGAGGTGCCCATCAGCCCGGTAGTTCGATTCGAGCGCCCCCCTGGCCGTACTTGATGAGAGCAGAACTCGTTTCTGTCGCAATCAGTCACTCTGGTCGTGAGAGAAATTATCACGAGAGGGTTCCCTCTGTCTTCCGTACGCCGCACTGCCGAAGTTGTCGGATTCTACCTTCAATAGGTTGCGGGGTCCTCAGGTCCTGACGGGAGATGTCAGCTTTGCTAGTCTCCTGCGTATCGATGATGCGATTGCTTTATTCTCATGTGTCTTATTCTCTCTCGTCAGCCTCTCTCCATGCTTGAAGATGGGGTCGAACAGCGGCTCTATTTGCGGTTGCCCCGAATCGCGTATCGCAGTGAGGTATGCGTAACAGTTCGTGAACAATGGTAAATTATTCCAAGAAGCAAGCAAAGTCGATCGATAGCTTGACGTCCCGAGATTTGAGCCTCGCCATCATAAATCATGGCAGAGGCTTCCTGCGTCAGGACAATGATTTGACAATGACAATGACTCGAGTTTCTCGGAGCATGATTTTTTCGCCGACTGTCGTTGTCTCGAAAACCAGAGATTCGTAATTATTGACATTCGACGGTTACATTCAGCTATTCAAGCGCGAATATTCCATTGATCTTCCACCAATGCGACATCCTGCCGTTTTCGCTTCCGTATTAAGGCGGGCTTCCAATGATGACTTGAACCGCAGTTCTGCTACGTGATCAGCGTGAGCAAGGACGGTCGCCTCGGAAGATTGCACGGTGGTGCCTTCGATGCAGACACGGAGGAAGCAAGAAGTCGAGATCTCCAGAATCAGTGAGATATCTAGATGCGGGAGAGCTCATTCAATTCCGAAGATGTGTTCGCTCAAGAACACGGTGTACTCTGTGAAGATGCCCACCGAGCTTCCCAGGGGCTATTCTAGCGAGATCAGCTGCTCCGGGATTTTTAGCCCCGCTCGAGACCGAAGTGAGATTCCTCTGGCTTCTGTGACTCCATGGACAGATATCTCACACGGATATTCAACGGAATATTAAGTCGAGGAGAAATTATAAGTCTGACAATGAGAGGGGAATTAGATCACGTACGTACCTGATCTAATTCCCCTCTCATTGATCTTACTTTGAGGACAGCGGTCTTGTTGAGGGTCCGCGGTGTCTCCTCGACATCTGTGCTCGACGTCTCGCGATTCGAGCAGTCCTCTATCGGGCTAGAGTGCTCGACTTGTCGAAGCTGCCAGACTCTCCAGGAATGCAGAACATGTCTGATATAGATTCTGCATCAGTTGTCGAAGATCTGCCTACGAGAACATTCTGCTGCTTCTCCAGTCGTGGATCGTGGCTGGCCGTGAGATATTGGCTTCTCGTTTCCGGAACATCGCGACTTTCAACGAAGTTCGGGGAGACGAACCTGCGACCGTGGTTCTGGCCATCGTCGGCTATCGAGCTATGTTGGATTCCGACGAGGAGAATCCGGAGAGTTTGATTTTGCTTCGTTACCCGGAAATACCTTCCCCCTCTCCGCTAAAATTGTCACAGAATGAAGTCTGATTTGCGTCAGAGATTTTGCCGCGTCGTTCGCGCTCCTTCCACAGCTCGGAAGGAGGACAGTAGCGAGGACACTTCCAGCATCATGCATGACGTTGATCTCTCGATTTATGGTGTACACCATACACATCGACGATGATATTTACAGGAACAATCTTGCGAATAACACTGAGTACTCGATGATGAAACACGCACACGCAATCGACATCCCCCCAAAGTAAATAAAGATAGATCCCATGATGTTCTTTACTGATATCGGATCAGCCTTCTCCTCGTTGAGTGGGACGTCCGAAACTTTGATCCACGATGGAATTTGCGGCTGCTCGTGCATTCGCACGAATCTTTGAGGGGATTCGAGCAATCTCCTCGTCCTGCAAACATTGAAATTCGCGTCTTCGTCGATTCCTGACGCATACATACGTATGTTTTCTCGAATCATCGGTACCATGTCGCAAGCTATTCTATGGGAGTGAAGGCTCACTTTCGATTGAATTCGCGTATGAAGTTCTTGTCGACCGTGTTCCTATTGAAGTACCACGTCACGTAGAAGCTCAGCACGAACTCTCTCCCACAGTAATAAAAGCCTTGGTTGTATTTGGAGGCTTCGAGCCACGGTTGATAGAAGAAAAATTTGAACAGCTCGCAAAGTGAGAATGTGAAAGCTGTTCCATTTAGGATACCATCCATACTCTCTGCGCTGACGAGGGTCGGCACATCCAAGAGACCTCGTTTCTCGAAAATTCGGTTCAACTCGGAGTACTCTGGGCTCACCTCTGCTTGTTTCTGTAAGAAATGTAGGTATCAAAGACCGAAGCACCGAAATATCCATATTCCTGAGACCGTTCGGTTTCACCACGTTTTTCCATGATCATGCAGCCCGTCGAAACGGCGCAACCCAAAAGACGAGGACCTTCCCTATGTAGCCCGCGATGTCTTGCTCTTATTTGAGTTTCTCGCTGCAATTTCGGGGATCGATTTGTGGATAGATCCTCGGAACTGGTCTTCGATTCGGAGAAGACATTGTCTGCATTAATCAATGTCCCCAGAATTCTCATGAGATTTACCGCCACCGCTCCGCAAGAATCATACGAGTTAATTTTTATCAGATACAGATTCTCAACGAAGCCGGAAGAGCCCCTAATTCGAATGAAAGTATGCGGAATCGGGTTCCCGCATAATTCTGATTTCTGATCACTCTCTAGGATATGAGGCGCGTCTCGTGATAACCCGGACGAAGCGCACGGAAAGACGCCCGGGGTTCTGCGCCGTTTCGGTCGCGCTCTTTTTTTATGCGACAATTCCAGAGACTGACCTTGATGAGATCCGTTACGAAACTGTTCTTGGGAACAAGAGGTCTCATGTTTTCCGTGATGAGTTCTCTCAGACTAGATATTCGCTTCGTCGGGGGAGTAGTCATCATGGAGGCTTTCACGTACGAGGAATACAGAATCGTAAGGAACAGCGCTACCAGAATGTACGACATGACGACCACACGACTGGAGACAAGTTTATTGCTGTAATGGGCACCTGAAGAAGAGAAATAAAGACTCACAATTAGAATCGATGCGCAAAAAGGAGGCTCCTCACCGAAGAGCCTCATTCATTGCAACATCCAAGATCCAGTGCTCTCGAGGAATTCATCTGACTTTGATTCAGTATGGTCTGATAGCCCGCGATGACCAAAACTCCCGGGTCTATGTCATTTTCCTGAATTTCGTTGAAACTCGCAATGCTCTGAAGGCGGGCAGCCAGCATGACAAGGCCGGCCACGAGCCAAGGC